ACTGTGGTGTTGGAGAAGACTCTTGAGAGTCCCTTGGACTGCAAGGAGATCAAACCAGTTAATCCTAAAAGAAATCAGTCCTGAATATTCATTGGAATGACTGATGTTGAAGCTGAAACGCCAACACTTTGGCCACCTGATGCAAAGAACTGACTCCTTGGAAAAGACCCTGATGCTGGGAAAGATCGAAGGCAGGAGGAGAATGGGACAACAGAGGGTTAGATGGTTGGATGGCATCACCAACTCAATGGAAAAGGGTTTGAGCAAGCTCTGGGAGTTGTTGATGCACAGGGAAGCCTGGCATGCTGCAGTCCATGGAGTTGCAAAGAGTGGGATACGACTTAGGGACTGAACTGAGCTGAACTGAACAGTCACTATCTATGGATCTTAGGACTAGTCATTTAATCTCTCTGAACCCCTATTTCTTCACCTGTAAAATATGGATCACAAATAAACATGAATATATTATATGCACATATAGGGATGTGTATATGTAAACTATAAATCTCTACACATTCATAAGAAATAAGGTGATGATGACAATTGTTATTATAATGACCTCCATCCCGTGGTGTGACAAGTAGTCCTAGAAGAATTCAGGAAAGTATCAGGGACGCAATAGAGGTCCAACGCACCAAATATTAGACGTCTACCTTAATTAGAGGAAGGTGGAGTAAGCAAAAGTCACATTTTCAATAAGAATGACATCCAAAGAATCACAAAAAAAAAAGCAAGCAGGTGAGCCCTTATGTACTCTGGTGAGTATAAGCAGGTTAATATGTCACAGGGAGTAAGGCAAGAAGAAATTCTTCTGGGTCAAACACAGCAATGGTGCAGGCTCAAGATCAAGTAACAGGAAAGAGAGAGGGGGTATTTGATAGTACACTCACCTCCTGACCAGCACCATATCCTACCAGTTCCAAGCACAGAACGCCACCAAGAGACAATAGACTGCAGATCACTAGCATCTCTTTCCGGTTCCCAGGTCACCTGGGACAAAGGTCCAGGTGAAATTGTTCTTCAAACACAGAATCCTTGCTGCAGTGAACATTGTCTTCCTGGGGAAAGCCAAGGTGAACTTAGGTAACTCATTCACTCTGCCTTTCTGAGAAGATGCAAAGCTGCCTGGGATAGAGTTCCCAACTGCTCTCTACTCTGCCACCCACATTCATCTGGGTATTCGGCTGTTTCCTACTGAAACGTGGAGCAATAAAGCAAACTTTGAGCTTATGGCTCTGGAGTCTGACCAGCCACAAACCTCTCAATATGGAAAACTCGTATATTTTCCCATCTGCTTCCTACATCTTTGATGGCTCATGTACTGAGAAACATGCACTGTTATTCTTCAATTCAACTAACAACAATTAGTAAGCATCTCCAATATATTGTAATGACCCTGTGAAAGGCACTAGGCTGTAACAATGAGCTATTAATAAATATCTGCCCTGAAAGTGTTTTCATACACTTATCATAAACCACAAACATTTACTAGGCATATATATACAAAGTGCAGGTTAAGTTAATCCAAAAGGGTGAATAATCATTTGCATTTTAATATACAGTTGTGTTTTATGGTGATTCTTCTATTGTTTGTGCTTTCCGTTTGTTACACTTTGCTTTCTCATATTCAGGCTTTCTTATCTGGTAGAAGTCAGGTCAGAGCGTTGAAATTCTAACAGGCAGTCTTTATATGTATGATCATGAGGGTGGTAGAGGTAGGAATCCTGAGTAGATTCCCTGAGTGGGAAACAGCTCGGTTCTGTCTCTCAGAGGATAAAAAAGCAGGACACCCAGGCTGCGGTTCTAAATGTATGTGTCATCTTATTTCCATCCCAAGAATTCTGAGAGGGATTCAGTAGCGGCCACAGCCCCTTTGCTGTGGAAGAGCAAAGACGTGCCTTATATGTTGAAAGCTCAGAGAAATGACATCAGTGAAGGAGGCGGAAGTGTGAGTATGTCTAGCACAGAGATAAGTTTGGCTACAGCAGAGGATTTCCATAAGGGAACGGTGGCATATCAGGCTGAAAAGGTAGACTGGGGAGAGATCCCAGAAGGTCTTGAAAGTTAGGATGAGATATTAGCCTGTGTCTTTGGTCAAGATGGAGTCACCAAATGTTTATGGGCTCTTATGAGCTAGAACCTAGGAAAGGGAGGATAACAACATCAACCAATTAAAAACTCCTGAGATAAGCCCAGTAGACCTGGCATAACTCAAAAGACTGTGAAAATGCTGCAGAACATGGGAGTCACACGACCATCCCCTTTCCACCCAAGATATTTAAGTTCTGGAGCTCTGATCAAGGGAAAGCCAGTGTTCCAGGTGACATCGCTGATGCTTCTGTCTTCTGCCTCCACTCAGCCCTGTGTGGCTTAAGTTCCAAAGTTCAGTCCCTGCAATTTGTTATTGCTTTCCCAGCTCACTCATGTTGTTCCTTTTTTTAAAAAGGAAAAGATTTCTTGATGATAGTCCCAGCTTTCCAGTCTCCTGTGTCCGACTTTACCCTCTCTCTGGGAAACCCTTTCAGCTCCTCTCCTGCAATTTAGGGATCTTCTCTTTTAAAGTCTTAAT